CAAGTTTCAACTTTATCAAGAAACTCAAATTAGTTCATCATTATCAAATTGAAACCATGATTATATATGATTCTCATATTGACCACTAAAGTTTTAAGTAGATCAACTTGAACATTATAGTTACTGAGTTACACATGGGTAAATATACTTTCTCGCCCATTTTTTCTTCTCAACAAATTAACTAGTTTTTAGTCTTTTACTATTTGATTTTAAATATCAAATTTTATCATACTTGAATTTAATTTCGTGGTACAATACTAGTAATGTATCTTCTACAAACATGATATTTAAACTTTTAACTATTAAAAATACACACAGTATTTGTTTGTTTATTGTCGAGGACTTTTAACTTTATGAGTAATCAAACATTAAAAATCAAGACGAAAATTTATTTACGAATGAAATGAGTGTATGCGAATGTGTGTGTAATCAAATAGAACAACAATAGTAATTAACAATAACAAAATAGTACTTTTGATTTAAAAAAAAAAAAACCTAAACAATAGTATAGAAATTGATAAATATCTACACTAATATGTTGATGCCCTTGACTAAGGTATTTCCTATCTTATCTGCTAACCATAGTAATTTTAAAATGTCTCATTTGAAACCATTACATCTCCAACAAAGTTGGATATATAACCCTAAGGCTGGCCAAGATTTAGGAATTAATGAACTTTTTTTTTTAAAAATTAAAAACCCTCTAGCTAATCGTGTAATCTGACAGGCTAACATTCAACAAGAAAGCATTAGTTGGAGACAATTATACTTAACCTGAAAGTTAGCTATGATAAAATGTTCACCTAACACCACTACAACAACACCCATAAAGATCAACAGGGTCCCCGCCCGCATGCCAAATTCAGCTCCATTTTGTCATCAAACGTAATGAGTTTGGTTGAGGCTAACGTAACTGCCCTATCTTCTCCAATTAAAAAATAAGAGCGCGTTTATTAGTCCAGTTAAGAGCCCTATCTTCGGCTTATTACTTTATTAGTCGTATCCTGACGTTTTGTTTTGATTTTGCGCACTAAATTGAGTAACAATTAAAATATATATAGTTGAATTTATATTTTTGATTGATTTGGCAGAAGTTACTGTAAAGAATAATTTTAGCTATTTTTTTTTTTTTGAATTTTATTGATATAGTACTTCATCAGTCCTGCTAAGATTTCCCATCTTTACTTTTTGATCCGTCTCATTAAGATTGTCTCATACCAAATTTAATAAAATTTGTATAGTTCCAAATCATTCTTACTTTATTTTTACTAACCGTGCTACCTCATACGTCCAAATTTTTAGGGGACCGAGCTAGTATATTTTAATTTATTTTCCAAAATTCAACAAACTTAACCAATTCAGTCATAATACCATCAATTTTAATAGATTCAGCCAATCCAATCAATTTCATTCTTACAAATACTAATGAAATTCTGATATTGATAACTGAAGAACAAAAGAATTGATACTGGCTAGTCTTTCTAGAAAGCTCACATTTAACTGTACAATAAAAAATGTGGAATTAGTTGACATTCTATTATTCTTTGGTTCTTCCTATTTTGTTTCTTGATAATTGGCTTCATTATAGCTACTAATCTACTCAATCCTTTTTGTAGTTTTTCTTGGTTTTCTTTGTTTTAACATAGCTAAAGTCACAAAATTCATGTAATAAAAGATTCCCACTTCATATCAAAATAAGAGGTACATAAGAATGCATTGTTGAGTAAGCAAGCCACCGTCTGCAGTTTTACTTGGTCTAAACCTTAATGTGCAAAAAACAGAAGAATCGTGTGCTGATGACATAAAATCAAGGATACAACCCCATGCCTCAATGTACCAAGTCTTATTTTGTTCACCCTTTAAAGAGGGTGGTGGTCATCCTCCTTTACCTGCCATTTGGAATAGCAATTTTTTCTTTTTTGGGAAAAATAATTAAAATACCCTAAACTTTGAAGGGGTGTGAGATAAATACCCCAAACTTTTGTATGTAATTTAAATACCCTAAACTTTATATAAAAAGTTATTTTAGCACCATGGTTGTATATTATTTTTTTCAAAAATGTAGATTCATATTGCTAATTGCATAATTTAGAAAAAAAAAATAAAAATGCACCAATTATATAGAGTGGGGGTAGTATTATTTATTTTACAATTGAAGTTTAGAATGTGAATTGTATCTTCATGAATGCTAAAATATTTTAAATTATGAAATTAACACAAAAAATTAACATTTTTGAAAGAAATAATGCATGGTCATGGTGCTAAAGTAACTTTTTATATAAAGTTTAGGATATTTAAATTACATATGCAAGATTGGGGTGCTTACCTCACACCCCTTCAAAGTTTAGGGTATTTTAATTATTTTTCCCTTCTTTTTTTCTCTTTTCAAATTGTTTTAATTTTTTATTTGTGACCCAATTTTTAATAATATATCGAATTAAATATTTTATGACTTTATTAATGGTACCAGTATAGCATATAAATAATTTAAAAAAAAACACTTTATCTAGCATTCATGCCGGGTTTTTTAATTTTAAATATGATTATATGAAATATTATTAGTACCATATGAAAGATCAACTTTGTCAAAGTTAACCGGCACGGAGAATAATAAAGTAAAAACTGTATGATTGAGGTTTGTACAGATGAGAAAGAAATAAAAAAAACCATAAAATAATTGATTAGAAGGGAAAATGACAAAGTTTTTTTAGACGTCTCAAAAAGAAAAGATGATAAAATTTTAAGGGATGGAGGAAGTAACGTTTTAAATTTAATACTACTTGTATTTTTGAAAAAGTGGATCACAAATGAAAAAGTTATAATAATTGTAAAAAAAATGAATTATCATACCACAACCGGAGGCCAGTAATGACGGATGAACATCATCCTACTTTGAGCTTTGAGTGTGAACAAAGTTGCTTTCCAATGTACCTAAAAAATGCTTGGCGACTCGAGATGTAGAAGGATCAACCAATACCTAGGGCAGAGCTCGGGGGCCGGGTAGACAATTAACCTCGTGAGTTTTTCTAGTTTTTCAAGCATGTAGAGCGTTGATTCACTTTCAGATTTATATATTTTGTCTCCTACGTTATTGCTAATTAAAAGCTATGGCAGAGCTCGGGGCCGGGTACACGATTAAACGTGGGAGTTCTTCAAGTTTTTGAAGCACGTAAAGCGTTGATTCGCTTTCGGATTTAACCCCAGGAGTTTTTCAAGTTTTTCGGGTAGACAATTATCTCTGGAAGTTTTTCAAGTTTCAAGCGCGTAGAGCATTGATTCACTTTCGGATTTATATATTTTGTCTCGTAAATTATTTCTAATTAAAAACTATGGCCCAAGAAAAACAGAAGTATCTAAAACATAGAATTAGATAAAGAAAGTTATTTATATTCTTTCATTTTAAATTTTTAAGAATGATTGGTCCAGATTTGTACGGTACATATAACAGAGTACATATGATTGGTTCACATCATTATTTCTATCATTTATTTATATTGTAATTGTTTTATTGAAATATTTTGATTGTTCCATGTGAACAAGATATCATAGAATTTATCTCTTTTTTTTTCATTTTTTTACCTTAATATAATACCAATAACTTATACGGATTACAATGGAAAATTGTGCACTCAGGATTCATTTACCTAACTTTATGAGTACCGTACCATTTGAAAACTGAAGTCTTGTGAAGTATTCTCTGATCCGTATTTACATGTTCCTACATTTGCTTTTGGCAGTTTGGCACAATATTTTAGGATATAATAGTAAAGGTTGTGAATAGTGTAAAAAAAGTAGGAGAGAGTGTATTGAAGTATGAAAGAGAAGATAAAAGGTAGATAAAGTAAGAATAGTTGAGTACGGAGTATTTTATAAGGGATAAACTTACCAAAAATGAAAGTATATGGAATTTTTAAATGCATCCCAAAAAGGAAAGTGTAGGGCACTTTTTAAATGAGTATATAACTTGAAGTCACTAGCAAACCCGCACATACATGTTTCATTTCAAATATTAATATCGACTTGAAACAACTCTTAAAATACTGTGCATATATAGTTCAGTTTTGAATTTTTGATCTTGCCAAGAAAAATCCGACTCTTATCACCTAATTTCACTTAGGTAGCTAAATGGGATGATGATGAAAATAACAATGCGTAAGCGTCTATTTTCCTTAATTTAATGGAAATGAAACTTTAACTTTCATTTTAGATATCGTCTACAGTCTACACCCTTAGAATCAAGTCCTTGTTACCTTCTTCTTCGTCAAAAGAAAATAGATACACTTTTTGATCTTATAAGCATCATACCACTATACCAGTCTTATATCAGGTCCATTTCTTTGTTTGTGCTTTCATTTAGTACATGATAGTTTATCATTGTTTGCCCATGGTACTTCTAGGGATGGACCGGGCCCGGATCCGGGTCGAGCTATGGGTGGGACCGGGTTTGGGAACTGGAGGCCCAATACCGGCCCGGGTAGGTTCCAGGACCTGGTAGGGTCTTATTTAAAAAAAATGGTTTTTCTTATTTATTCCTACCACCCAAACCACCCCACCTAGTACCCAATCCATTCGAAAAAATTAAAAAAAAAAAAAAACAAACATTTTGGGCCCGGACCGGCCGGGCTACTCCATCAAATAGCCTACCCGTACCCCCCCCCCCCCCCGGTTCGGGCCCAAGGCCCGGTCCCAACTGGCTAGTTCGGGCAGGTCCCGCACAATGGTGGCCTAGGCCGGTCAACCCGGGCCCAATCCAACACTAGGTACTTCTAGCTAAATTTCCAGTGCATAAGCCTCCTTGGTGACGCAAGTTAGATCTAGGGGAATGCAAGTGCCCAAGAAAAAAGAGTCATTTATCAAATGTACGCAAGTCACATATATGAACTTAATGTTTATGTGATTGATATTGAATAAAGTAAATATGATTTAGAATCACACAAGTTTTATCAAATTTGGTATGAGACAATCTTTGTGCGACGAATCGAAAAGAAAAGATAAGAAAAGATAGACATTATTAACGGAATGGATGGAGTAATATCTTAGGACCAAAAGCTAATAAAAACATAAGGTAGTTCGATTTTATACATACTATTGAGTAGTTCTCCTTATTTCTCTCCAAGAGGTTCACCTTACTTTGGGGTAAATGGAGTTGATGTATTCCCATTATAAGGTCTGGAACTATTATGAAACCATCACATAAGGTCATGTACTCAATAAAGTGCCATATAATTGCGTCTACTTATATAGTTACAATTTGCCAAAGTCACGATAACAGGCTCTATATCCAACATGTGTTGATGTATATTGAAATCATAGAATGCTGGAAATGACCGCAAGAAACTCATTATTCAAGGGGGACTGAGTTGTATCAGTTTGTTCTTTTGCGCCGTGCCGGATGCAACTCTCAGAAAAAAGGTATGCACTTCGGCTAGTTTAGATCCCCAAGAGTTACCAACATCTCAAAAGAAGTAAACAAAGGTTAAAAATGAGCTGAGAATGATGGTTAGGGGTTTTCAGGAACAGCTATCCTAACATGATTGTGGGATTTATAGGGTTACATAGACTCACATGACCATGGAAATAGAAGAATATAATCCGGGGTTTATTTTGAGGTCATAATAGTCTCTCTAGTCCAAATACATTTTCCTAGTAGGGATGGACCAGGCCTGGGAGGCCTGGGAGGCCCGACCCGGCCCGACCCGGCCCGCTACTATTTAGGACCAGCCTCGTACCCGGCCCGGTGGAAAAGGGAGGCAGGCTTGGGCTCCTATTTTGGTGGACCTGGCCGGCCGAGCCGGGCCCGGTCCAGGCCTAACGGTCACCAATTAATTTTCCTTTTTCCCTATTGGGCTGGCTGCTAGGTGGGTGGGGTTGGGTGGGTTTGGGGGTGGGGTGAGCCACAAATTGGTATTAATTCAAGAAAACAAAATTAACAAATAACTAATACAAGCCTGAGCCAAGCCCGGCCGGGTAGCCTGGACCGGAACCGGTACAAACTGGGCCAATACCGGGCCTGATTTCCTTAGTCCCGATGCCCGCCCAGGCTCGAGGCCTGACCCGGTTCATCCCAGTCCATGCGTAGTACAACATGAGGATAAGATATATCGGGATGCTATTTTTTAGTTAAAGTCATGGTCCTCCTTCAATGACAAAATCAAGACAGCATGGTAAAAATAAACATGACACTATGAAAGCATGGTAAAAATAAACATGACAGCATGGTAAAAATAAGCATGACAGCTATGGACCGGATTGTGAGAAAAGGCAATTTTACCTTTTAACTATAATATTTACATTTATCATAAGACCTTGACTCAAGTAGCAATTCAAGCTACCAAGTAGAATGGTATACAGAATGAATTTCGACACTCACCCTTTCAACTTTTCAAGCATCAAGAGAAGGTGATGTACTTTGAGATTGAATATCCACTTTTGTGTTCTCTCTTTGAATTCTTGTGCTCATTTCTACTTTAATTGGTCTACCCATAAATTCCTGTGAAAAATAGAAATTCTTGGCGTTCCATTATTTCTTGATATAATTAAGCATTATAATAGTCTCCAGAATTTGTGGATTTTTAAGCTCAAACTTATACCAATAAACGTATTAGTTTGCAATTCAATAGGTTTAAACACCAAAGCATAACAAACCATAGACCTAAGAACGTCACAACCAATGAAGCGTACCTTCCCCTGAAATGCAGACAGTGCAGCTTCAGCCTCCTCCTTGGTGTTGAAGGCAACAAATCCATATCCTGCAGAACGCCATGGGTTTTCATAACATACGATCTTTGCAGAAACAGCATTTCCTTTTTTGAATTTGAAGAATTCCCTCAGGTCTTTCGATTTTGCTTGAAATGGCAAGTTTCTCACAAACAAGGTGTGAATACGCACAGGCTTAGGAGCTATTGGATAAGAAGTTGGTTTCTTTATCTTTGGTTTCACCCATTTAAGCTTCAAAATTCTTCCATCAAATTCCTAGCAAGCACATAAAATAATGAATGAAATATCTCCGAAACTAATTTCAAAATTCTTCCATCAAATAAACGCAAAGCAAAAACTCATATTAATATTGATACTTAGATGCAGAATGCATCCCCCATCCCTGCCCAGTGTCCCCCCCCCAAAAAAAAAACTTAGATGCAGAATGTACACCAAATGGGTTTTTTTTCAAAATTATTACCAATATAAAACTTATTTACATAAATATGACTAGTAGTTACTACAATGTAGTGTCATGCTAACTTAAGTTTAAAAATTGAACATAAGGTACTATGATTTCATTACTACATTAGTCACTAGTCACATTATTGTGAACAATCTTTATTTTAGTCATATATATCTAATTACTTCTTATTGTTTCCCTGTTTCCACCAACCCCCACTACCACCCGGCTGCTTGTCACCGGAACCGGCACCGCCCTTGCCAACCCCTGCAGTCAAACTCTTTCTCTTTTCCTCGAAAGAAAACTATGTAGAATATAAGGACCATCGTCATCGACAATTTTTCTATATAGATAAACTATCAGGAAAAAGTAACAGGGAGATTAATCTAAGACTTCAGAATACAGATTCCATCTGAAAAGATTGTTTAGAAGGAAAAATCACACGGTAACTAGATGGATCATTCTTATAGTGAAACCCATGTGCTCATAGATGCTAATAACACGCATAAGATAGTACCTCGTTTGAGCATATCAATCCTAACCTGTGAGCTAATAGTTGAGTTTTATCGTTTATTATATGATAAAAATACACAGAGTAAAACATTATATAAGATCTTGAACTCCTATTAAGTAGGATAAAACTTCGTTGTCTTGTTAGAATCAAGTTCGCTTGTAATTTGATTGTTAATTGAGAATTTGTTCCACACTAAATCACTACGTAAAATCATGAGCAACTTTTGTTTTCCTTTTGGGACTTGTAGGATGGAAGACAATCTTGGACAACTTTTGTTTGACCTTTCAAGATGGAAGACGCTGTCTTAACATATCACATTTCTCATTGGAGCTTAATTTCATACAATTGAGTCCTGCTCCTTAAAACTTAACAAGTATCTCAACTATTATAGGTGGGTTAATTTTTTGTATTCAACCTCAATAAAATCCATTAGGGAGGGCAGGATTTTTACAGCAATGAAAAGAATAGTATTCTTATTTAATAAAGTATCTTTACCGTCAAATGAAGATTGGTCAGAGCTGCCAAAGCCTCCTCATGCGAACCCATGGTTACAAATGCTAAACCTCTGTTCTTAATCCTGCTATGCATAGCAAGCTAACCCACGGAGAGATAACACATTTAAGAACAATAGAAATCCACTTCAGAAAATTTTAGGAAAAGGCCATCAATAAGGTCAAAGAAACAAAAATACAAACCTCAATTTCAACCACAGTGCCATACTTCCCAAAAATAGTACGAAGATCATCTGCGGTGGAGGACCAGGGAACATTTTGGGCTAAAACTCTGTTTCCGGAAGCTTCCTCCCCAGGCTGCTCATCTTTTGTTCGAACAATTTCCTCAGAGAATTGCGTGGCGACTCGGGAGAGATGAATCCCGATCTCGGGCCTTTTGAGCGTAACACCAGTAATGGGTAGCGAAAGAGAGTGAGGTGATAGGAGAGAAGTGGATGTGAGAAACTTGGATAGATGTGAAAAAGAAGGCGACGAAGAAGGCAATTCTTGAGTGGTGAAGCGAAATGTTGAAGGAGAAGAGAAGATGCCATGGATAGACATTAGAGTGGAGGATATTAGCTTCAAATTTTCAATGGCAACAGTTTCCTACTGGTGCGTGCTAAACCGCTGCTACAAAACTAAAACTATCCCCTAAAATTGAATGAGGTCAATTATGAAGAAATTGTACCTAAGATATAATCAACACATTTTTCAAGAATGAAATAGTATGGGTAATAAATGCATCAAATAGTGTACAAAAAAGTATGAGAGGTGGTGAAAAAATATAAAAGAAAAGATAAAAAATAAAAATAATAATAATTGAGTATTTTCAAAGGAATAATTTCCCAAAAAATGGAAAGAAATAATTTCATAAATATGACCAAAATAAAAATGGTTTACAAAAATATGACTAGTTACATAGTAATTCATGTTCAAATTTTGAACATGGTTCATAAACCATCTGGGAAATTATCATAGACCTCCCTCAAGGTTTGATATATTATCAATCACACCCCTATACTATCAAAAATATACTCTTACCCCCTTCCATATCCTTTAATGATGATTAAATAACTTCTAGTCTATATTTAGAGAAAACTATAGTTATAATTTCATAATTTTTCGTTATGTCCGCTTGTAATACTGTAATTTTATTCAGTCACAAATCTGATTAGGTAATTAATAAATTAATTTGTCCATATTAAAGACATTTTTATCAGAAGTCGAACAAAAGTGACATCACTTTAGGTAGTTCGTTTTATGCATTTGAATTTGTAAAGTGACTAAATTTACTCACTTGAAAATGATCAAAATATGCTAAATTTGTCAAGAACTGAAACAAATCAACTTAAATGAACCAAACCGACACAAAAGTGATATTGATTGACTACTCGGTTTTACCATTAAAAATTGAATGCAAGAAAATTCCCAATTTGCACTCTAGACACTTTGTTATAACTAAGAATGAGATCATTATAGGTATAATAATAACTTGTAAATTAATATTTGACAAAATATGAACGTGTTTACATGTAAAATACTGGTAAAGACATTATAGTTTATGATGATTTTCATACCCAAACTGGTTAGTGCTAAATAATTAGGGTGACCCATGACCTTATCTTCGGTTCTAATCTCCTAATTGGTCTAGGTTTGTTCCCGATAATTTAAATATTTTTAACTACCTATTTTAAAATGTTCTCAACGATTTTAATGAAAAAATGAACGGGGTCAAAACATGGGCTCCAATCTCAGTCTCAAAAAGTGAGGCATGATGCCTCTTTTTCACCGGTCTAGACTCGGTCCCAACCTAAAATCTTAATTTAAAAATCGGCCATTCCCGAGACTGGGCCTTGTCCCCCCCTAATATGAACCACAACAATAAGTATTTCTCATACAAATTTTCAATAGGTACCAATAGTCTCCTAAAAGTCCTTCAACAACATCTGTCTTACATATAAAATATTCCTCTTTACTAGGCATCTTTCCCTCGTTAGAAAAATTTCACCATTCCCTAAAAAAAGATAAGTTTCACCAAGATTTCTTCAATCTCATACATATTTCGAACTTTTAAATAAAAGTAACAAAGATTTATTGTTTTAAGCTCGTACCTTTCGATTGTGTCTACTACTAGTCCTATAATTTTACTCACATGTAGATGTTGTTATTTACCTAATAAAATTGTCAATAATAAGAGCGCGCTATCTCATTGGAAAGTATGCGTTCTTGCAAAAATAGTATTTTTTGGTGGAAAAATTCGTAATACACGTAAATTTATTAATTATCAAATTAAATCTGCAAGTGAGTAAATTTATAAAACTAAATTTATAATTATGATAAAGGTAATTAGAGTTATTAAATGTTCATTAAAGGATAGGGAGGAGGGTAAGTGTATATTTTTAATAGTGCAGGGGTCTAGGTAATAATACGTGAAACCTCGAGGGTGGTCATTGATAATATCCCTTTACAAAAATATGACTAGTTACATAGTAATTCATGTTCAAGTTTTGAACATGGTTCATAAATAGAGTAGTAATGAAATCGTAGTAATTCATTTTCAAGTTTTGAACTTAAGTGACCATAACACTACGTTGTAGTAATGAATAGTCATATTTATGTAAATAAGTTTTATTTTAGTAATATTCTTGTAAAAAACCCTAACTTTACATATTTTAATTATTACACAATTTAACGCGTGAAATCATAAATTTCGTGTTTAGTGAAAGAGTTAGATGATAAAGCTGATACACCGAAAAATAAGGTCACCAAAGAGGCTCCACATCGCATTGAACGGGTATGGTCGCTAGTAACTTCAGCTAAAATAAAGAAAAAATTACATTAAAAATAGCTAAAATGGTCCTCTTTAGTAACTTCGGTCAATACAGCTAGAAAAGTTACTTTAATCTTACTTTTTCTTATTATTATTACTTAATAGTATAATACAAGGCGTGAAATCCAAAGTTATGTGTTTGGTAAAGAAATTGGCCCATGAGTCCGATAAATCGAAAAACAAGATTACCAAACGGGCTCTATAAATGTATCTTCGATAACAAATTAATTGGTCTTGTGTAGACGGATCTGGATCCTCTGCCGTAAGGCAGAGGTGCCTTGCGCATCGGACGACATGGGAGCGGCCAAGACAGCCTTGAGATCGGCAAAAAAGTGGAGCCCAAGATCTCCAACCGTTGAATTGTCGATCGGACGACCGGGAAGAAGCAAGATACTCTACCTTACTCTAAAGTAAGGTAGAGGCTCCGGATCCTGTGCAGACAAGTCAAATTAGCATTTCTAGCAAAATTATTTTTTAAGTTTAAGGACTTCAATGGTTAGAACTTCTTCATCTTTATTTGTTATTAGTGTTATTATATATTCTTTCCTCAAAATTAGCAGTTCATTTTGGTCAATCAGCTTTTTCAATGTAGAAAAAAGGTAATGCTCCAATAATTTGCTGTTTGATTTAATATTTCAACCAAACTTTGTTAAAACATGTCACATTGGAGATGCTATAGTAATATACGGAGTAATATACACTGAAGATAAAATCAACTAACAGTCCAATCACTATCTTATGATCAGACACATAAACGGTATCCCTTACAAGACCCGCTAATATAATCACTCGGTCTATATATCCTACACTTAGGTGTGCGTACATCCAACCCAACTAATGAAGACAGCTCATTAATATACACTTAAAACCAATAGATCCAATGTTTATGATACAAAACCAGCCAAACATCCTATTTTTTAATGGTGACATTTTTTAATTTAAGTGAAAAATTACGGTTTCCGCTAAATGAGCATTAGTGTACTTTAGTGAACATCTGGCCTATTCTATTGAATATTAGGAGCCTAACAATGATCATCACGATCCTTGTTTCATATCTTCTAATTCACTTTCTTTTTCTTTTATTTTTCTTTTATAAAAATTGATTAAATTATACTACCTACGTCCCGAAAAGGTTGTCATTTTGACTTTTCTTGGTCAATGATGGCAAACTTTGGACAATGATTTTAATTACTATATTTATATATAATTTTTAAATTTTATACTTTTATGAAAATATTTAGAATAAGGAGCATTTTGATATTATTTTCATATTCAAAATAATTTCATATTAAAAATATGGTCGGTCAAAGTTGATCGTCATTGACCAAGAAAAGTCGATTTGGCGAATCTTTTCGGGACAGAGGGAGTATCTATATTTCACTCCTATGAAAATTTAATGTAATACGATACTTTTGAAATATGCATTGATATAACAATTTAAAAATGAGTACAACATCAGTACCAAATAAGCATATATAACTTACAAAATGCTCATTGATATAAAAACGTAAGGTTTGTTAGTTGAACATCACAACATTTTCATTGAGCATCAAACTTTCTCTATTGAGATGAAAATCACGGTTTGTGTTAAATGAACATTAATGAACTTTTAATGAACATCAAACCTATTTTGTTGAGTATTAAGAGACCAATATCCAGACATTTCATTGAGCATCAAAACATTTTCATTGAGCATCAGACTCTTCTATTGATTATTGGAACTCCGTAATTGAGCATAAAAATTTCTAAATCTATTGAGCATCAAAACAACTTCATTGAATAGCCAACCATAATAGGGCTTATCTTAAGATGTTATATCGACGATGCACATTATGTGTAAATATTATACTGATATGCACTAATTAGTAGTGCATAAGTGTATGTTTTTATGTTTGATTTGTGTGTATTGTTTATCGTTTTATTTAGTTTGTAAACATTTATGTGATTTTAGTTGTAATTGTATTTTAATCTTCATTTGTAAGTTGGAAAGTAGAGTTAGTATTTATGGTGTTGGAAAGGAAGAGTTTGAAGTGAAGAAAAAGGTGATAAGTGTGCCCAGGAGCACAAACCCGGTCGGGTCAGACCATGCACCCGGTCGGGTCTGATGTAAAATCCGAAACTGCCTGGAAAATCATCAGACCCGGTCGGGTCCCCTACTTGACCGGTCGGGTCAGACTTGACCCGGGACACCAGAACGTGCCGAAGATCGCCAGAACGTGGAGGATATCTGATTTTGACCGGACCCGGTCGGGTAAGCACCTAACCCGGTCGGGTACCCGGCCCAAGGTGTTGAAAAACACCTATAAATAACCCCATTTTCCTTCACAAAGACTAACTCCTTCTTCCATACTCTTAAGCTCAGTTTAGAATAGTATTTCTTTTATATTTTTATAGCATGTTTAGTCTCCAAATGAGGAGCTAAACTTCCATTTCTTGGTGTTGCTCTTGAAGCTTGTTGATTATTAAAGTTGTGAGTTATTTTCTTAACTTCTTCCCTTGAATATTAATTATTCTCTTAATCTATCTATATATTAATGTTGGGGAGTGTTGCTAAGATGACAATTAGTTAACATCTCGACATTAGTTATAGTAGTATTTATTTTCTTCCTCTATATATTAATGTTGGGGAGTGTTGCTAAGATGACAATTAGATAACATATTGTGTCACGCCCCAGACCGCGTCTGTGCCACGTGGACAACCGTCGTACAACCCAATAAGAATAACCGTAGTTCATCCTTACCGAATTGCACAAGACGTCCGATAGATACATATGCCAAAACCGATTAGTAAACATACATAACAACATCAACATACAATCAAACACATAGCGGAATATAA